CGCAGACACGCGAGGAGAAGGAGCCGAGCGTGCAAATCCGTGTCAACGCGGCGGCAAGAAGGAAGGCGTCGGCGAGCGACGCGGGGTGAGGGTTGGTGGACGAGTCGCGGGAGCGGGTGATTGACATGACCAGCGCCTGGTGTTGCATCGACATAGTTGCGTCTAGCGCTGGGCTCTTTCCTTCCCCACGAAACTCATCATTTTCAGCTGTGAACTCATTTTATTTTTATCTATGAACTCAGTATGTGAACTCATCGTTTTATTTTGTGAGATGTGAACTCATTTCATATTCATATATGAATCGTGGTAGAAGTATCTATATGAATCGTGGTAGAAGTATCTATATTCATATATGAATCGTTTTATTTTGTGAGATGTGAACTCATTGCATGTTACCGTGTGCCTTGCGGCCCGAATTCAAATTTGAACTTTGCAAAAAAATATGAAAAAAATCATGCATGTTCATAGCACATATTAAGATAATCCCTCAAAACTTCAGATCAAAATTCGAAACATACATCGAGAAGCAAAAAAGAGAAACTCAGATGTGAATAGTATACAGAGAACCATTCGCAACTATTCATGACAGATTTCTCTTTTTTGCTTTTCGATGTATGTTTCGAATTTTGATCTGAATTTTTGAGGGGTTATCTTAATATGTGATGTGAACATGCATGATTTTTTTTAGATTTTTTCGTAATGTTTAAATTTGAATTCGGGCCGCAAGGCACACGGTGACATACAAAGGTGCATGTCACCTGATCTGTGTCCCTTGCCAATATACTGACTTTTGAGGTCTACATATTTTTCACTTCTAGCTAAATTCCATTTCCTGTCTTTTAACAAGCTACAGCGAGTGCAAAAGAACAGATTGCAACAAACGTCACTAGTGGCTTTGATTGTATCCGTGATTGTATTTGTGGAAGACAAACGTACACTCTCCTGTACGTGTCTGTAATTCCCTTTTCCTGTCTTTACATACGCTGTGATTAGATACATGTAATTGCCAAATTGCAACGCAAGATTCAAGTAAAAGATTAGAGCGAGCGTCACTTACAGGTTGCTCGCATCTCCATCTTGAGAACATGCGCATGCACGCATCCATCTCCTCCTCCAGTCGGTGCTGCTGCCATCACGCCACTGGAGCTGCTGTTCAGCGCCGCCCTCGCATGTCTTAGCTCTCGGGACGAGCGGCGCCAACGCACGAAGGGGAGGGCGAGCTGCGTTGGCGTGGGCGAGCACAGGCGGCGAGCTGCGCTGGCTCGCGCAGGCATCCGCGAGGCTGCGCCAGCACATGCAGATGTGCACGAGCACCGGCGGTGAGCTGCAGTGCCTCATGCAGGCATCAGCAAGGCAAGGGTGAGCTGCGCCGGCGCGAGCAGGCGTGGGCGAGTACCGGCGGCGACCTTCGGCTCCTCACACGGGCGTGGTCAAGACGAGCTGCGGCGGCGCGCGCAGGTGTGGGCGAGCAACTGCCGCGACCTGTAGTTGCTCACACGGGCGTGCTGAAGCTGAGACGGGAGTACTCTGAGACGGCGAACTGCGGTGGCTCGGGAAAGCATCACCGTCATGACAAGGACGAGCTAGCATCAAGCAATTCCCATCCCATCCAACCAGCCCACAAACGCATCGGATAAGGTTGAAAGACCCAACGGGTGTGATGCCCGGAGTCGTTGGCGCAGGTCCATGTGATGAATGAAACGAAACCAATAGACAATTCAGCTGGAGACTAAAAAAACCTGGTTGCAAGTGTATATTACCCAGGTGGGCGGCTGCCAAAGTGTTCCCTTGTGGCATATGTGGACACTTTGGCAGCCACTTGGTTATTAACTTATTATACATTTACAAGCATATGGTGGTGTGTGATCGGTGCAGGTCTATATATGTACTGCTTCTACCGAACGTTTGATCAATTAACACAAGCACAATTCCCGAGCTGGGCGTAGGAGGATGAAACCAAGCAAGAACAAGGTACTAGTCCTCCAACCTCGTCTTCAACCATTTGTTGTTTCCTTCTACACTGTTTTTACTTGCGTTCTTACACATTTATGTTGTTGTATCTCCTGATGTTCTCGCAGGTTGGTTGTGAAGATGGGGCGCATATCCAGGACTTACTCGCCTGCAGCTCCGCCTGATGTGCTTTCTTCCTCAACAATGGTGAGTGCAGAGAAGGTCCCGATTCTCAACACAGCCTACAATGCCGGTATGCACCATTCCGTCGCTGGTGACTGGAACCCGAACATGAAATCTGTGTTCAATGGGATGGGGATGGAGGAGTTGTGCAAAATCAAACTACTGGGCCCTGTTCGGAACTTCCCCGCTCCGTGCAGGTGGGGAGCTGGCTTTTAGTAGCTTCATCAAATTAAGCTAAAGTCTTGTTCGCTCCTGGAGTGGAGTTAAAGGAGTAAAGAGAAACCGAACGCAGCCCTAGGCAACATCAACCGTATTTTCTCCATGTATCTCCTAGCTAGGATAGACCCAAAAACAATGAGGATGGACGTTGATGACCGGAACTGCATAGAGGTGAACTCCAGAGTGCTTAGGACTAGAATCATGTGGGCGAAAAATAGATACCCCCGGTGATGCTTGCTTGGCTGACCGGGAAAACTTGCTAGCAAATTTGCATGAAATTTTGGAGACACAAATGCCCAAGGACATGCAAAATTACTAGGATCATGCTAGCCTGTTCCAAGCTTTGACATGTGTCTCGTCTACCTAGTCTACTACTCCCTTCGTTCTATAATATAAAATGTTATTACAACCATAGAAAAGAAAGGTCGTCAGTGGTCGAACTTTTTATCAGGCCACCATCCATACGAAAACATCAAAGACTCGTAACTCCACACTGATACTGATAAATCTACCATAGGTATATATACATTTCATCATGCACATTCAGTTTTCCACTGATGATTGAGACCTTCATCTTCTTCCTTCCAGCAGCTGCCAACGCAAAACAGTCAGTGACAAACAAGTTTCACATTTCAAAGGCAGGCTGATCCAGATTGTCAGTTATTTTGTCTTATCCCAGGACTACACAAAAGGGACGAGGTAAACAAGCTTACTTACCGGCTTTACTTCTCCATTTCAGAGAGTGAACAGCAACGAAACATGCCAGGCCAGGAACACAAAAGATTAGTGACGACAGAACTAACCTGCACGGCTTCAAACCAGTTCATCACCACTACTACAAATCTTTACTATCAAACCAATGGGCCGCGCTGTTGAAGTAACGGCTCCGATGCAAGCACTACGAATATGCCTGCAGTCATGATTTGAAACATATACAGTATACAATATGCCTGCAGTCATGATTTGAAACATATACAGTATACAATATGCCTGGAGCATTTGGATTAGCAGAAATGGCTTCATTTTTATCGAGTGATTGCCTAGCCTATATAGATGCAGAAAGATTTCTAAGGATGAGCTTGAGCTAATCCTTCACAGACCTAACAGGGCTTCTTATGCCAGCTTCAGAACCAGGGTGACTAACTACTTGTAGCTCTTTAGCACTTGCTTTCATTTTCTTTTTGCTAGCCTTACTTATGCACATACTTTTACAATTTAATATATTTACAGAAGGCGAATTATTTACAGTAGGCAATTCGCCTACTGTTTTTCCTCAAAAAAGACAAGTATTGAGCAGGACGAGAAATATATATATACATTATTTATTTTTCTTAAGAAAATATTGCTCCATTGCATACAAAAACCCTTCCTCTTTAATAGATTTACAGTAGGAAATTTGCGTACTGTTTTTCCTAAAAAAACAGGTATTGAACAGAATGAGAAATATATATACATTATGTATTTTCCTTGGGAAACGAATTGATCCACCACATAAAAAAAACTCTTTCTATTGTTGCTCTTCTGTTTTCAAGAAAATAAAGAATCTCCTATCCACCTCTAATAGCACAATATATTAAGTTAATCATTATGACTAAATTAAATAAAAAAGCATCGAGACTAATTTCTGTTTTCCCCTATATCAACAAGCATCCAGTTGTTATGCCTGCAGAAAAGTTACAGCAGAGTTGGCATTCCCAATGTAGCTAGCATAACTGTCAATTTGGAAGAAATCAGAAAAGCAAACCCAGTACCACTAATCCCTTGCTCCCAGGAAGTTGCGGCATCCCTGCAAGAATTATTAACTGAGAATTATTATCTGTTTATGATAGCTGCAGTTTATTTCTCAGAGGTGCATGCAAGAACCGAAACTGATGAATTACAAACCTGCAGGAAATTCCTCTTTTGAGACCAGTGCCTTGGTGTTCCTTATGACTTGAGAGAAACAAGTAGCTAGCTTGGGGTCGATGCAGTTGCATCAATTGGAGCTAATCCGTAAATAATTTTGTCAGAGAGTTAGAGAAATAAAAATACAGTGTCCGCCTTTTTCTTCACTTTCCTGATAAGATCATAACTATTTCTTCCTATGTTCTCTTTCATTATCTTCTTTAGAGCTGTGGAAGGTGCTAACACATTTTTCAAGCGACCACCCTAAGATAAGCTTCAAAGTTGCCCTGAACAAAACTCAAGACAAAACAGAGCAAAAAGCTACAGTAACACATTTTTTGTGCAGCTCCATCTCAACTAGTTTGTGAATGAACATCAAAGTTTAGTACTACAATATACAGGCAGCCTGCAGACTCGGTCCGCTGCATAATGTTGAACTGAAGTACCCACACAATCTAACTGACTTGGAATAACCACACTATGCCCAATCTAACACATGAACAGACCACACAACCAACGCCGAGTCTGAAGCGGGCACAATATCCCCCAAAATACAGTCATGCAAAGAAAAAAGTGATCATTCCTTCTCTTATTTCTTAAATTTTAGTACTTACGAAGTATTTTCAACCCCCTCTATACACCCCTGGTGCCTGGCTTTCCAACCTAGGTTAGCGGAACATAGTAGTTGACCCCAGTGTTGTTTCACACAGAACAGTTAACCACCTGACTTAAGAAAACCATGCAGTAGCTTTTGTACAGATGAACTAGCTTTCCATGTCAATAGCGCTGTCATTTCTAACTGGCCTGGCCGGCCTTTCTATGTCAAGGGCAGTAAGGCTGCTCATCGGCGTTGTTGGTGTCGAGCTTCTAAGCAGGCTCATGGATCGCCTCTCCATGTTCTTCGGTGGCTCCTTCTTATGGACGAAGGAGATGAATCTTCTAAGGCTCCTCCTCGGATGATGTTTGAGGTATTTGCGTAGCATGATACCAAAGTAGATGAGCAGCGCGAGGACACATGCCACACCACAGATTAGGAACAGGCCAAAGAAGCTCTCGAGGCGGAGCTGGTCCGAGTCAACAAACTCGCTGTTGTCAGTTGTGCAATCGCCTGTCTTGACCCACTTGTCACGGATCCGCTGCAGCTCCCCATTCTCTGACAATGACAGGATTGCGGTGGACAGGTCTACTTGCAAAGGGGAGTCCCTTGGAAATGCCTGGTAGAATGAACTTTGTAAGGTGCTACATTTTGATTTGTGAAACAGAGTACATGTAGATTTTAGACTTGCAACTGCAAACAAGTGCAAGGAAAGTTGCATGATATTAGAGAGTAGACACGACTATTCAAAATTAAAGCTGTTAGTCCAGGATTTTAATACCAAAATATTGTGTTCTTATATTCTAACCTATGTTAAAGAATATGGTTTAAATATACTTACAAAGCCCCATCCTCTGCTGGTGAAATCTGAGCCAGCTACCGCAATCTTGCAGTAAGTTGACAAAAACAGCTCAACATAGGGTCGCTCGTCGACAATAGCCATAACACCTCCTTTCTTAGGGCCTAGCTGCAGGGCATCAGCGTATTCTTGCGGGGAACCAAGAGCTCGTAGCCTTGACCGTGAGATGTTCAGTTCATTAACCATGTAGTCTTGTGCAAACGAACCAACTTGGAAACCAACAGGATCATCACTACTTTTCAGGTCATCGATTCCTTTTATAGAAGTATCAAGTTGTTGCACGGTCAGGATGGAAGTAAGACTAGCAGTATAGCTGGATACAATGATCAAAACAACAAATAGCCATATGATCAGGACACCACGCCCTAAGGTACTCCTAGTATTTTCTCCTGCAAGCAGATACAGATGAAATCGTGAGTCATGCGCTAGAACAAAATGTTACTTATAGCAAAAACAAGAAACAAATAATAGAGAAGGTTGGTTTACTCACTTTGGGAGAAGAACAAAGTCGAAAAGCTGAACCTACAGGCAATCAAAATTGAGATTATAATCACACATTTGAGAGCAAGAAATCACGCCTATAAGAGCATTTGGCAATACATGTGGAGAAGTGCAAAGACAGAAGAAAATCATCATCATATCATTAGGCGAATATACAGCTAAGTAGGACCCACTTGGCAAAACAGGTCTATAGGTAGAGTTCTTGGTTCATACTGTGCATATATACGTCCCACCACAAGATAATAGTTCACGTGGTATGTTATAAGGTTTGTCTGTATGCACAAGACTTGGTGGACCTTGACATTTCTAAGAAAACAGAACTGATATACAGGAAGATGATACAAAAGGTGCACATCAGCTTCTTACCAGAAAATAGTTATTATTTGTTGACTTGGTGGACCCCGGAAATCCTCATTGATTCGATGTTCAAGAACCCAAACAACCACACCCACAATAAGAAAGAACAACCCTGTAACACACCACATCTCCAAAGTAAATGGCTGCAAGAATGCCCAGGATGTTTTTATATGCTTTTTAACTGGAGCCAAGATAACCAAGCCTGTTTCAATGAATGGCTGGGTGAAATCTATAGCGACTGTCCGGCTCATTGTAATTGCGATATCCCCTATAGCTGCATCAAACTCCTGCAGGATAAGATGCCCCTGGTCAGTACGGTATGATAAAAGGTTAGGAGAAGAAAAGTGGCGTTCATACTTACATTTGATTCAACCATCTGTATGAGTTTGTCATAACTAGGATTTTCAGTACCACTCCCAAAAGGTATGAACTTGTAGCTAACAGGATAAGGAAGCAAGGACAATGCCTGAGTAAAGACATCGATGCAATAACCATTAATTGACCCAGTAGCATTGTCTTCCGTGACGAACTCTTTGAAGCTAAATCTGTTGGGAACACCAATTTTTAACTCCTTGGCATTTGAAGGAAAAACCCATCCTCGAGGCCTCTGTGCAGTCTCCCCAGGCCAAATAACATCATAGAGATGCTGATTGGCTAGAGAAGTATTAGGAGGCTTTGAATATAGAGCCTCTGGAGAGATGGTCGACAGTAAGCCAGAATAATTTGACCAAAAACCAATGGTCCGCATGCCATTTCCGATGAGGTTTATGATATCATATGCAGGATGAATGAGGTCACCTGAAGCATCGAATTGCACTTGCCCAGATGCCCCAGTGAAGTTTACCTTTCTAATATTCTCCAATAATTTATTTCCCATGTCAAAAATGCTCATTGCTTCAAGGTGAAGAGTTTCCCCAGCTTCATCGCGCAACCTCGAGTCATTTGAAAAGGAAATCCTACCACCATCACCAAAGAAGGCATCAAGAGCCCGAGCTAGTGCCCAGACACTATCATAAACATAAAAACCATAAGTATTTACACGAAGATCACTATGGTTGTACTTATGACTTTGCCTGCTCCACTTGGAGATCAAATTACTCTTCATCCTTGAGTTGGGGATATGTGGCCGTAAAGTAAGAACACCTTGCATGCCAGATATAGTCTCAGCAGGAACTGATGAATTAGCATCAAGATACGCAGACAGCCAGTCAGTTGCAATCCACACATAGCCGTTGCCCATCATGTTCAGTTGGTTTGCCATGGAGAAAAACTTGAGTCCATGTTCAGCTCCAGTATGGAGAATGATAACACGAGACTCCATATAACTGACACTAACCAACAAATTTATGAGCTCACTCCTTTTAGCATTGGAAGGAAAACTCACCTTGTATGAGATTTTGCAACGCTTTATAGTGAGTGCATCATCCAAAGCAATAATTCCATTTCTACCATAATCATTATCAATGTATATGGCAGTCACTATCTTCCAGTGGTTATAATCAACAAGTGCTGCCACAGCCGCCATTTGATAGAGATCACTGGAACCAGTTCTGACAAAGAATGGGAACTGTATCGTTGAAAGAGTTGCATCAGAAGCAAAGGACATCAAAGGGACTCGGAGCTCATTTGCAACATATGAAATTATATGAGAAATTGTGGAGCACTGAGGGCCAACGATTGCAATAACATCAGTCTCCATGAACTGCAAACCTGATACAAGGAATGCGGTATCATTGTCATAACTCCATGAACCAAAAATTATTTCAATGATGCGAAATGAATGAGTGACATTAAAGCTAGCCTACCTTGAGCCATGCCAAGGAAACCATCAAAGCAATTTGTATCTTTTATTTTAACCTTTAGTGTAGTTCCATTTAGAACTATTGGATCAGAGTTGATATCTTCCAAGGCTGAACGGATGGCAACCTCCGCAACACCTCCAGTGGTGGAGTTAAATTGAAGAATAGAGCCAATATTCACAACAGGAGGCCCTGCAGCCAAACTCTTGCAGATTCCACTGGGGAACAGGAGCAGAGAGAGAACCAACAGCGTGAGAAAAGCTATCTCCATTGTGCCTCAAACGGTGCAAAGGCTACTGGCCGCTTGTCTGCATGTTAGCAAATTATTTATGCGCTGAAAAGCTCCTGTAAGGAAAAAAAACATATAGCAGATGTTACCATGATACCAATGCATAATTCTTGTACTGTAACATAGTCATTGTAAAAGAGTGGCAACATTTGAAAGGCTCGGTCAAAACGTTGAAAGGGAAACAACAGGAAAGCAAATGCCAATTTGGATGAAGCAATTGCAGTAATTAAGAAAACATGGATTGAATATCGCAAAGAAAAGCAACTTTGCAGCATAGATCCAATTGAAGCAATGAAGGAAATATCAGTTTTTGTATGTGCCTGCCTCATTTATATTACTGTTAGGAAGATATAGATCCAAGGTTGAGGCCGACAAGCATCCAAGAAAGTAAAGAAACAATGTGGTCCTTAACTGAAAGCCAAAGCATTTGGCGTGGCCATACTACTCTCAGCAGATTCCAGTTTGCGCACACTTTTGCTATGCAGAGAGAGAACAAAAGCCCGTAGGTGACAAACTTTGGATTATGCCCTTGTGTCGATCAGACAGCAAAAGAAGAAACAAACAGAACAGAACATAGAACGATATATACTATACTTAAGATGGTGTGCATCCTGCAAGAGGAAACAATGCCTGGAACGTTAACGGCAATCAACCAAACAGCCTGAGCACAATTTTTTCCTTTTTGAAATAAGGGGGTTTCCCCAGCCCCCCACTTTTACTAAGCAGAGGCCAAAACCGGCCACATCTACATCGTTAAGCAGCGCTCAGTCACAGACAGAGAGTAGCTGCTGACAGAATTATTACAACCAAGCTACAGCCAGAAAGTCTACGAAAGGAAGGATGAATGCCAACTAGAGAAGAGAAGCAGCTGGAGAAGCATGCATCAACAGTTCAACACAGACGATCAGCTGGCAGGAAACCAGGATTACTATGTGTTTTGTGGACATTTTCAGCAACTGACGGTGAACGGACAGAAACCTCAAAGAACCGGAACGAGACCAGCCGGACAGACACCCTGCGCACAATCCATCGAACACCTCGAGGGCGGGCATGCAAGAGTAGGCCCAGCGTCAACAGCAGCACACGGCCGCCATTACCGGGGGATCAATACACAACCGGCACGCGGCTCTCCCTCGGTTTCCTCATTGAGACCCCAAGAAAACTGCGGGAATGGCGGCGTGGCGGGCACCGCGGCAGCGAAGTACTGTGGGACTGTAGGGGGCGGGCGGGGATCCGAGAGCAAGTACGGAGAGAGATTTCAACTTACGGATTGGATTCGGCCCCCGCCAAGAGGAAATGCCGGTCTCCCGACGGACGCTGGCCGCTGCCGCTCGACGACGACGACGAGTGGACTGAGAGCAGACCGCGAGCTGCTTCCGTCAGTCGAGCTCATTATTTTAAGCGAGGGGTGTGTATAGCGGAGGTGGGGACAGGGGAGAAAGAGGGAGACGGACGGAGACGTAGGTAACCTTACACGATGACAGGTGGGGCCACCCGAAACAGAGGGCGGTCATGGGATTTCATTAAGTTGACCCGAGTCTGATTGCACCACAAAGATAAACAAATATATAAAGAGTCTGTTTAGGGCACATTTGGATATCTAAATCAAACTAGAATGAAAAAGAAAAAAAGAAAAAAAATACTTGCACGAATCTTAGCGTAAAATCAATGATATAGGACTTACGTAGATGTGTAATACTTATAGCGCATCTAGATGTGCCTTAACAAAAGGCGCTGCTCCCCGTCCGCTAGCTGATGATTCTAAAATATCCGCCGATGGCCGTTGGATCCCTGCGCTGTTAGTCGTTCGATGTAGTGCCCGCGCCTCGCATGCCCCCTCATTAATTCCCGCAACAAACACACTGTTGCAGAAACAAACAACCTTGCCCTCGGCCCCAACAGAGTTGCGCCCAGCATGGTGCCACCCCAACCCGCGCATGTTCCTGCAACAAGACCCATGTTGCAAAACTTTCATTTCAAGATAACCTTTGTTGCAACACCATCTCCAACCTCTTCTCTGTATCCCTGCAACAAGACCCTTGTTGCAAAAATTTCAACAACATCTCCGGCCTCTTCTCTGTATTCCTGCAACAAGACCCTTGTTACAAAACTTGCATTTCAAGATAACCTTTTGTTGCAAGACCATCTCCGACCTCTTCTCTGTATTTCTGCAACAAGACCCCTTATTGCAAAAATTTCAACAACATCTTCGGCCTCTTCTCTGTATTCTTGCAACAAAACCCTTGTTACAAAACTTGCATTACAAGATAACCTTTGTTGCAAGACCATCTCCGACCTCTTCTCTGTATTCCTGCAACAAGACCCTTGTTGCAAAAATTTCAACAACATCTCCGGCCTCTTCTTTGTATTCCTGCAACAAGACCCTTGTTGCAAAAAAAAATTGCAGCCAAGGTGATGTTGTGGTAGAAGCTTTGTGTCAGCAGATCGAGCCAAAAAGCCTCAGCACGGTTTGGCCTTGGACGAGCAGTCCAGTATGCTCTCAAACATCTTGGTGACAACCTCGGCGAGATCGCCACCGGCTAGCTGGATCGCCGGAAGCAAGACAACGAGTAGCTGCGTCACCAGGGACTGCTCCTTGGCCATCTTCCTCAATGCCGTCGCCGAACAGTCGTCGTCGCAGACAAGCCTGGACGAGTTGTTGCTTTTCTTGATGTGCTCCTCTAGCAGCAACCGTGACGCAGGGGTTAGCCGGATGCGGAGGGAAGCCGAGCAGCGACAAGGGGTGCGGCTCGTCGGCGAAGCGCGCGCGGGCGGACGACGTTGGCCAAGTTGTTAACTCACAATGAGTTTTGGCTACGGGCGAGAAAAGTGTGGAGGTGTTTCGCTCGTGATAAGGATATCAGTGGAGTGGGGGCCCATGTGACGCGTGTCAATCGCTGAAGGAGGCGGATGTGGCATGGTTATCAGCTGGTTGAAGCTAATCGTTTCCCTTTAGCAAAACTGATAAATTAATGTTTCAAAATGTTTGAACCGAATGGAACATCTCCTGTTAAATGTGGTTTGAAAATTCCTTGAGATTTGTTTTTCATATGATTTAGTCACAACTCATAAATAAATACTCCCTCTGTCCCATAATATAAGAACGTTTTTTAAGTTATTGTTATATTATGGGATAGAGGAGGAAGTATCAAATAGCGACACATGTTGCGATTCCATCAATTTTAAACTCCACAATTTCGATCGGGCCTTCAGTAGGCATTTGTTTGAGTGTGTGTGTTGTGCGGTGGTGTGACTGTGTGCGTGTACATCAATGTTGTTTCTCAGGAAAAAAAAAGAAGGGAAAACTATGCAAGCAATCTGCGTCGAAGAACCCTGGCTAGAGTGTGTGACTGGCCAAAAAAAGGTATTAGATCCGATTCCGATTATCTTTATATTATGCAGGGTGAGATGCGAGTTGCCATGCCCGCAGGCAAGCAAAATAACCGTCAAATGATCCAAGTCTACCTCGGCTTGTTAGTTCAGCTGGCATTAGAAACTGAAATCAATCACGAGATAAACACGGTGGAGCCATGATTAATCAAGCACCTGTATTTGCTGAGCAAGATTACAAAAGGTGAGGTCAGAACTTGGCTGCTTCATGTGAAGTTCAAGGTAGAGAAAACTAACCCCTCGCGTCGCCCCCGCCCTGGGCGACTCGGGGGCTCTCCAACCCTAGGGCCGCCGCCGTCCTCTCCTTCTCCCCTCCTCGCGCCGCTGCCGGGTGACGCCGCCGGGTGAAACCCGTGTGGCAGACGGCGGCGGCGGGGGGACTGTCGTGGTTCTAAGCCTGACAGTAGAGTGGGGGGTAGGTATGGAGAGGCAAGGTCCTAGCTATGGAGAGGTTGTAAGCACAAAGGATGTACGAGTTCAGGCCCTTCTCGGAAGAAGTAACAGCCCTACGTCTCGGAGCCCGGAGGCGGTCGAGTGGATTATGTGTATATGAGCTACAAGGTGCCGAACCCCTCTGCCTGTGGAGGGGGGTGGCTTATATAGAGTGCGCCAGGACCCCAGCCAGCCCACGTAGGAGAGGGTTTAAGGTGAGTTAAGTCTGGGGCGTTACTGGTAACGCCCCACATAAAGTGCCTTTACTATCATAAAGTCTACTTGATTACAGGCCGTTGCAGTGCAGAGTGCCTCTTGACCTCCTGGTGGTCGAGTGAGTCTTCGTGGTCGAGTCCTTCAGGCCAGTCGAATGAATCCTCGTTGGTCGACTGGAAGGCGACCTCTTCTAAGGATGTCCTGGGGTAAGTTACTTGGATCAGGTCCATGACCCTACCCTAGGTACATAACCTCATCATTAGCCCCCGAATGGATTGAGGCTTCGAGTGAAGAAGGAGTTGATGTCGTTTCCGATTAACCTTTGCGCTCTGGTTGTGCGCTGTTCTGGACCAAAGAATCTCTCCGTCGATAGGAAGCAACTTGCCTTCAGTCGACTCGATCCATTCTGTTTTTGCGTCGAGTGATCTTTCAGGTTTCGACGATCTCCGAGCGACGGATCGCCGGAAACACCGCGCCTGACAGACTGATTTGCTGTTCGCGGATTCCGCGGGATGCGAAATTTGGGGACGCGCGCGAAGCGGGGCGGACCGCGGCGTTCGGATGGGACGAGGCATGGACGCCTCGATCTCCGCGCCGCCCTTTTCGCCACGTATCCCGTCTGCATAACTGCTCCAGATATGATTAGATCGATCGGGCCCACCTGTCATCCACTCGGAAGGGACCTTATAAATGTGCCCGGCGAGGATTCCTGTGCTGCGCCTCAGCATTCTCTCTCTCTCTCTCTCTCTCTCTCTCTGTTTCCTTCTTCTCCGCCCAGCGTGCTCGCTCTCGCCTCCGCACCACTTCCCTTCGCGCATCTCGCCGGCGACCATGGCCAAGGAGAAGACGGCGGCGCTGGAGCGTGCAAAGAAGGCGTCGGCGTCGGAGAAGGCGAAGGGGAGATCCACCAGCCGCGGAGGGTCCTCGTCCAGATCCCGCCTGCT